TCCCTGTTCTTACTTATGGTTCCCAAACGTGGACATTTACAAAAGCAAACATGGACAAAATCATAAAAACCCAAAGAGCAATGGAAAGACAAATGTTGCACATAAGACTAATGGATAAGAAGAGAAACGAGTGGATAAGAGAGAAACAAAAGTGAGGGATGTTAGGCAAGAAGTTGCAAAATTGAAATGGAGATTTGCCGGACACAATATAAGACAAAAAGAAGACCGATGGAACAAAATTCTTATAAGTTGGAGACCGTGGGAATATAAACGAAGCAGAGGAAGGCCCCAAATGAGATGGGCAGATGATATCAAGAAGCACGTGGGCTCTAGATGGATGACTGTAGCGACAGACAGAGAAGAATGGAAAAGGATTGGGGAGGCCTATGTTCAAAGATGGACCGAAGAAGGCTAATTAGATAGATAGATAGACACATTTCAACTGTTAAACCAGTCTATACTATATTTATTTTTTCTAACTTAGACATGAGACAAAAATTAACCAAAAACAAGCGACCAAAGAAAACGGTCATTCGGAAAGTATGGAGTTGGATCTCGTATTATTGAAAATATATTTAGTATGAACACACCAAAACGAAAATTAGCCAACACTTCATCGACATATGCATCAATCTGCATATTTTAAAATAAAAACAATAGCATCAGAACAATTGAGACGTCATGGAAAATACTGGCAAACTATATACTAACTAGTCATGACGAACTAAAAGAATATGACTAGGCATCAGTAAAAATTAACAACCAAAAAAAGTTGTCTTTCCAAGGTAACGTTAGATTTGTTATTCAGAATCCTCTCGAAATAAATAAAAAATATATACGATTTGAATAATAAAGAACTGATAATTGATTATGTCCATATATTAATTTTTAATTAGATTTAGATTAACACCTTAGCGAATTTTGAACGTTTCTACATCAGCGTGATAACATTACTACAATTTTAAATACAATGCCTATTGCAAATTTTAAAGTCTTAATAAGAGCTAAAAATAATTTAGTGATACGCGATATTAAAGATTATTTCCATATAATAAAAGGAAATGAAAATAAAAAGCGGGTACAAAATTCAAGTGGAATAATCTTTAGAACATTTAAGCATTGTTGACTTTATGTTAACACTAAGGAGATCTACTTCCAGATTCATTATTCTTGTACTTACAGATACGCTATCTTAATTAATTTTGTGTTTATTAAAATATAGAATTATATCATCAAACCAGATGTGGCGTAATCAAAGAAGATATTAAATTTGTCTTGTCACTGTCATTTGAAAAAATTATGTACATGCTGGAGGCTGATTTATGAACATTGTAAATGTAAATTCTGTACCATCTGTGAATAAGTCGATAAATCAAAAATATAAACTTTTCAGTATGACCATTTTTATACATTTTAACAGTTTTAAAGAATAAAAAATTTAAGATCAATTTCGTATTCGTAGAAATTGGTAGGTAATCATGCAACAAATGACGTACATAATTATGAGCTGTGAATATATCACTTACGCTTAAAAAAATCCAACTTACCCACTTATTTACGCCAAATTTCTGTGTTCTTATTGAGTTACCGACTTATTGTACTTAAATTCCAGGACAAAAATGAAACATTTTTTTATACTTTATTTCTTTATAATACATAACATCAACTTTATTTGGAAAAGGAAACTAAACAACTACTGATTATCTGCATCAAACCCTTCCAAATCGGGATCCAAGTCTTGCATATCTGTAGCGGGAAAATTTCGGTAAAAATTATAAAAAACTTCATCATTGAGCGGCAAAAGATCAAGTAGGTCTATATTTTTATCCTTACTTACTGGCAGAAGCTTGTCTGTGATTTGGAGCAATGTGCTTGGTACAACGTGTTTTCCTCTTCTTCGGAAATTCACAGATTTAAAAGGATTGCATAAATCATGGACACTAGTAGTTAAAAAAAACCATCAGAAAATGTTTCGGTCATGCAGGGTGGACAGAGACTGAGGTAGAAAACGAAGAAGATGAATATCCTGTAGTAGAGTGGTTGAGATTACAACAGCAAGATCAAGAACTAACCCAACTGAACAATTATGACGAGTTTGCTGAATTCATTGCCATTGATGATGATGGCGGATAGTGAAATTATCGCGGAAGTAATAAAATCTGCCGGCGGAGCGCGTTACGTCAATGACGAAAGTGATGAAGGTGGAGAAGACAATTGCGGTAAATCTACGCAAGAAGGTCCTAATAGAAAAGATGTGAGAAGTGCTTTAACGTTGCAAGAAACTTTATGCAAAGATAAAACGCAAATGAAGAAGCATACAACCGTTTCACATCTTTAGAAAATATGGTAGAATGATACTGGACAATTTAAAGCAGTCAAAAATGACAGACTTCTTCCAATTGAAGAAGCAATAGTTTATGTTATCCTTGAAAATATGCTTTATACATTATGTAGTTGGAAAAACATATATCATTGACAATAAGAGTAAACAACTTTTTTTGTTTTAATGTATTTCATTGACAATAAAAGTGAACAACTTTTTTTTTCAAAAAGCCTTTCAAAAACTTCAAACAATATTTGGCATCTTATATTGCTCCGAATGGCTTCACTATAGGAAGTTAATGTTTTATAAAACTACATATTATTATTTTTGTCTGATATAACGAGATCAACTATAATGAGGTAATTAGTCTGCCATTTCAGTTCTTGTTACAGGGGGAGTTTACTGTATATGTATTAAAGAAGAAAATAAGTAACGGATTATTGAGATCCATTCAGTCAAATTATCTGCACCATATAACATACAAATTAGCTCTTGGGACATGATTTCACTACTGGTGATTCAGTCACAGTGATTTATAAATCACCAATAACGACAGTTCCTTGCTAACTTCGATAACCGTGATCAATGACCAGATATATCAGATATCAATTCACCGTCAATGTCTCATAAAACGTGTTTGTATAATAAATATTATGATATTCTCAGTGAACATGATTTGGGGAACAGTGACTAACATCTGGGGATTTACCAATGATGAATATTAGGAACTGAAATATCAGATATTTTATGTTATTATCTACTGATATTTGTCTTTTTAAAATAATAAATTTAAAATAATGTCATACACCTATTGAGTATATTTTTTCTTTCACAAAACATTTTTAAAACTTTATCAAAAAATTTAAGTGAAATTCTAGAGTAATTTTAAGTTTTATTTAAAGAGAAAGTGTTGTCAAGAAAGTTTTATAGTGTTTTAAATGGATTACTTTATTGTTAGTATTGTAAATGTATTATTATAAGTCTAACCATCTAGTTGCGTTCAGTTAAACATATTCATTATCAGCAATATGTTTTTATAGTGCCACCTTACACAGAGTGATAGCGATTGTGTTGTTTAGTTTACAATTACTATGACTACCTGTTACTGTACATAAAAGTACAGTGATCACAGCATGATTTAAAAATCGCCATGTTCACCATCACTAAATTTCAACTGTCAAACCCATTTATACAGTTGTGATGAAATTAATAACTTGATTGGTATAGTAGGTCAGTGAACATGCTAAGCTTTTCTCTAGTTTTTGTGATATAAATAATTATGAATATGAACAGATACATGGATAATAAACTACAGGAAATCATCAATAAACACTAATAAAAACAAGGTTCAGTTTTCCATAACTTCTCTACAAATATTTTAAATATTGAGGCATATAACCTTCTAAAAGTTGTGAAAAAACATGAACACTCCAAAATACACAAAAGATACTTTATTTTTCAAGGGTATCATATATTTTAATAGGAATATAGGAAAACTCTTTGTTGGCATTATTTGACATTACACAGTTCAAATCTCACTACCTTCACAAGTTCAACGCTTGCCATATACTGAAATTACATCATGTTTTTGGCTCAACACATTTAAAACTCTCAAAGTGAAGCCAAATATTCTTTCGTAAAATATGTAGATTTAAAAAACAGTGAGGTACTTTAACCTTTGTATTATTATTGTGGTATTAAGTGGTTGATTATCACCTGTTTTAATATTGTATTATCATTGATCTAAATCATACCATGTTCTTGAATATATGCAGATGTTTAGGATAACATACCAATGTTTAAATATTATATAAACAGATATCATAAAACATATATAATAAAAGAAACTGTTTTAACTTGTTTCTTTTACTAAATAAGAACAAATATAAGTGATTGTTAAGAAATATACTAAGTATGAATAAAAGGTGATAAAAAACCAAATTATAGATGAATTATTATCAAGACCAGGAATAAATATGATAACATTTTCAAAAATAAATAGTTTATATTAAAAAATTAGGGAAAACATTTATAGCAATCAAATGAGGAATGTGAATGCTTAAAATATGTGGAAAAAATTTAAGTTACATCAAATTAAAATAATTTTCAGTTAAACTAAAAGATGTATATGACAGTCAAACATTTGTAAATTGTCTAAAAATTAGGCATATAAAAGTCTGAATTTGTTGAAAGCGTAAACAGATGCCTATGAAAAATTACACATTTCACTAAAAATAGAGAAAAATGCCAAATACTGGATAGTGTTAGCAAAGAATATAGATGCTTTCATAATCTATAATAATAATAACACTATAAGCGTCTATATTCTTTGGTTTTAGGTATGCCAACACCAAAAAAATTATGAATATAGGTAGGAATACTTCTTGAGTTTGTCCTTTAAAACAACTTGGTAGAATTAAATTAATTTTGAATACTTTCTAACTGGTATAGGATGGTATTGGAGACTACATACATCTATGTTCACTAACAATCAATTCTGTAGTATTTCAGATCACTTTTCTTTTAAATTTTGGTTAAAATGCTGGCTGAAAAAATTAGTAGTTTTCCATACCAAATAAATGACCAAAGTTTTATGAATAATGACTAGATGTTATTAAGTAATATTTTTAGTTGTAGTAAAATATTAATTTGCTAACATATAAAATGAGTTTCTTACCTTGAGTTTTAACTTCAGCCTTACTGGCAACATTGTTCATGCTTCTGGATATCACAGGACATTGGTTACCATACATTTTGACCAAAAGAGAAGCATAATTCTTCAAATAAGCTTGGCTTAATTTTGAAAGGAATGGACAAGACATCTTTCAATATTTCTGAAAATAAATCAAAACTTATGTAACCTCACTTTTGGGACTTGTTTTACTAAACACTTACATGTAATGTATTTGAAAGTGAAATTTAATTTAAATTATTTGACGTCAGTACTCAGTAGGTCAAATCCTCTCCACTACCGCGCGCTGTGTTTCCCTTTCTTTGAATAAATACCTTGTGTATTTCCACCACTTTTTCAATTGGATAATTTGTAGATCTGATTAAAGGTCAAGAAGATATAGTTGTGTCATGCTCAGAGAGATGGCACCAGCCAGTTTAAATAACTTGCGCCTGCGGCTAATATATTGATAAATAGAAAATGTGTATATGTTTTTTTATTGTAGTATTACTTGAACACATTGAGAGGGCCTATTTAAGAATAATAATGTAAAACCACTTACACATTCAGTAAAGATGAAGGCTTAGAGTCTCTAAAAAAAGAAAACTCAGACATTTTTTATAGAATTATTGTAGGCTACAGAAACCTAGACTATCTTAAAAGCGGTAATTCACTGACAAAAGTATTTCGCTATTAAAATAATTATATATTGTATAAGAAATAAGAAATTTACACATACCATTGGGCTGTAAAATGGAAAACAGAAGTATAAGGTCTAAACGACGTGACAAAGGAAATTTGCTGGAAAATTATTGTAAAAGTACATTATATTAATATGATTAATTACAGAAAGAAATGAACACTGATCACTTTAATACAGGTTAGAGAAAAATGTAATGATATTAACGATAATCATATCTAAAAAGTATTTGCGGTTTATTTCATTCTATCACGTCTAAATGAAAATTCATTAATTAATGGTTATAAGCATCATAGCATTCCTATGTAAAATTCAGGTCGAAATAATTGTTAATAACCCCACGATGTATGCAACTAATATCACACAACTACCTTTTATAATTACATTAAAAGAACAGATTTTAAAATATGTTTATGATTATACTTTGTGATGATGTTTTAAATAACAATTTACACATTATATTACACAATATTACACAAATTAATTCCTTTTTTTTTAATGTAAATATTAGTTTACAGAAGTATACAGGTAGAAAAATCTTGTGTAAACATAGCTTTAGATAGAAATGTGGAAAATTTAAAATTAAAGGCTTTTAAAATAAACGTTGAATTAGAACTAAAGGCAAATAGAAAATCAGTTGTTGTTTCAGATATATCACATTTTTATATTATTCTAAAAAAATAAATACGCATAAAATTTTTTGAAATTCTATGAACAATCAACAAAAACAGAATCTGTTGGGTCGATCAGGATTGACGGGAATTTTACCGTACCGCTGCCAGATTTACTAATTTATCTGTGGACCTACCCACTCTTAAAGTAATATTACCAGTTAAGATTAATTTGATCTTTTAACTACTGTATTTTGAACTGTAACTTAAGTATATGGGATGATATTCTTTATTAGAATAAAAAGCAAGGTTTTATTTTGGTTTTTTTGAATCTGGAAATAATCTACCGATTTATGTAGAATTTTATTACCGATTAGAAGTCAGTGAATTGTGGCAGCACTGTAGCCATGTACTATGTACTCTGAGTGGGAGTGAAGTCAAGCGAAAGCAAAAATTAATGTATGTCTCTCTCATAGCCAATTTGTAGTAAAAATAATAGATTAGTGTCTTCAAATGACTGCGATATAAATTCACGGTAATTATTAGGAATGTGACAGTACTTACTCCTTTTATCGTAAAAGTGAAAAAGAGGAGAGTGTCTGTGGCGGCTATCTGGTGACGTTTCTCTCTGTACCTGTGCCAGTGCCTCGACCCTCGACCTTGCAAGGCCTAAATTGAAAACATGATAGGTTCGTTAATTTATTTTTTATTCAGTTACTATCTATTTAATTAATGCATGTATCTAAAGACACCTTGTAACCTGCGATTTGTATATAGCATATGTTGAGGAATCTTCAAAATGAATGCCTGTAGTGTTTTACAAGAATGTAAACAATTTTAAGCCCCGCCCCATTATATGACAGACTAAGAAATAACTAATATTTTCACAAATATCTAGCCTGGATATAACAAATCAACAATTTTAAACAAAAATAATAGCATATTATTGATTCCTGACCATCACTCTTAAGATGCATGTAGCTAATGTCATTTGTGGTATGTACTACATCACGTTTAAAACCTTTTCTAACTGGTGGCTGAAAGTGTAGCCACTAGCTGTAAGTAGACTGGTTAGTGGTTAAGGTGGTTGAAGATATGACCACTTGACCACTGTTGAATTAGGATCTGTTTGGTGTCAGTGTCATATGTGAACAATTGCTGTTTCACTAAATTTTTTACAAAATGGTTTAATTCATAAAATAAAAAGTACTAATTATATTACATTAAACTAGCAAAACCTGCTATGATAAATTAAACAGCCAAAAATATACTAAAAGGATGAAATTCTTATATTCTAATCTTGAATACTTCTGTTTTCCTACTACAGTAAGTGCATTTTTTATATTTGTGTGACAGATAAAGTAGTTCATCATAATTTGCTCTCCTGTAGGTTGCCTTGGTTACTACTTGCTAAATTTGGTTTATATTGCTTGTATATTTTTTAAAAGGTATCAAATGAGTGTTCAAACTATCTGGAAAAGAAATGTCTTGAAATATTTTGTGATTTCATGTAATATATGGATCTGTAGTGGAGAAGCTTCACAGTTTTATATTAGGTATATTATTTAGTGAATATATTGCTACTTTCCTTATTAATTTTACAAGAAACTTCAGAAATTGGTTGTTCAGACATTGAAAATTTATCTGGTTCGCTGTCATTTACACTCAAGTAATATCTCCTTATATTTTGTAACAAATGATAGTTTTTATCGGAGACTGTAGAGATATCACTCTCTTCTAAAAGTCTTTGTAGTATTAGTTTTGCTACATATATCAAAATTACTATGGGGTACCTATATATGGTAAAGGTAGTTCTGCTATTTTCAATGTCATTATTTGCTATATCAGAACAGATTCTTCAAAGATTTACTTCTGCTAAATCACCAAGTCTAAGATGATTTGCCTTGTATAACTTGTTTTATTACTTTTTTCAATTTTCAGTATAAGTATATCTATTGATGTGATAAATCTGCCAAAAAGTATCATGTATTTTTTTATTCTGTTTTACAAAGTCTTAATATAACTAAGAAAACTATAAAAATATGTAGTAATCTTTGTTTAATTTTAGTCATGCACAAATCATTGATAAGATAGTAAACACACATTATCTTGCCAATGTAAATATTATTTCATTGTCACTCCCATAGAAAGTATGGCTGAATTAAGATATATTGATGATAACCAGTCATTTCTCCTAAACTAAACTGATACCTATAGACAAACATGAAGTTTAGTTTAAAAATTAGGTATCCATTGTAAAGGGTACCAAGTTATCCTTTTCACTGCAGCTAGTTATAAAAGTAGTATGGTTTTTGGTACAGTTGTTTCATGCCTGTGCTGATCAACACAGTTGCAGCAGTCAGTTGATGAAGTACTATGGCATATAAATACGGTTACCAGCTGTAGTCTGTTTGAACTCCCGCAGTGAAGCATAAAACTTTTAAATGTATTGTACATTTTAATATAACATGCTTAACTCTTTTCTATAGGCAACATACAATACGTAATCAGTAATTGATTCATACGGTTTCCGCAGTGAACGCCAAAAAAGTTACGCATATTTAGCTGGTTCCCGTTTTACGGGCACGAAAATATTTTACATGTATATCCGGTTCCCGCAGTGAAAAGGTTAAGATAGGCAAAAAGCCCTCACTCCCAGAATTCAATGTTTTTCATTATTTTTGGTTCTGTGTGATTAAACAGTAAGACTCAGCTTAATTTTTGCACTCCACCCGTTTCCCAAAAATGTCATTTTTTTCAATTTTAATTTTTTTTTAATGATAATAAATAAAAATAAAATACAATAAAAATTTCAAAAAAATCACAAGCATTTGGGGCTTTAACAAAACTTGTCTCTTTTTTATAAATCTGTAAATGAAGTGTACATAACCTAAAAATGCATTTTTTTTTTTTTTTCGAAAAAAAAAAACGACTTCGAAAAAAAATCTCTGATTTTTTCCAGATTTTTCCATAAGGTGCGATACCTTCAAAAACATGAAAAGGTTTTTGGGGATTTTCCCTATTGTATAGACTTTAATAGACCAACTCAAGGTTGTATATAATTTGTTACTAGTATTGTGAAAACCATCAAAATAACCATTATAATCTAAGATGGGTGGGCAACTGATGATGATATGTAATTCAAAGTAACTGAGTTCTGTATGTTTTGCCCAATTTTTATTGTAAAAGTAGATAAAACATTTTTAAACCACAGAAATACCATGTTTTCCCAGTGTTTTTAATGGGTTTTGCGAGTTTTTGCCAGTTTAATCACAGCTTTTGAGACTGATTCAACCTGAATGAAAGCATCTCCAGTACATATTCAAAAATATGTGAAAAATAATATTTTCAGCCTCAGAGAAGCAAATATACCCATCATTGTTTTGTGTGAAAAACAAGATTGTCAAGGGTTCTTCAGGGGATTTTACTAATCTCCTACTTTTTTTACCTTTCTATTATAAATCATTAAACAGCATGTTTACAAAATTTTTATAATAGAATATGAGACAATGTATTTCCCATATTTAGAGAAGCTTAAGCTTTTCAAGTTTTTCTAGTGTGGAAATTTTTCTCCTCTTTTTTGCTGTTATGCACCATTAAATGGCACATTTTAAAGTATGTTCTTCAAAAAGATGAGATTATGTATTTTCCAGCCATATAGAAATATATGCAACCTCACTTTATGTGAAAAAACCAGTTTATTAATGTTTTCTGAAGTTTTTACAGGATTTTTCTGTCTTTTATCACCTATAAACACTATTACGCCTCACATTTCTAAAATGATGCAAGAAAATATATTTTCCAGCCTTAGATAAATATATAAAAACTTAACTGTTACATAATGTAATGTTACATAGAATCTAAAAATGAAAATAATTGAATTCTGGGAGTAAGGGAATTTTGCCTATTTTAACTAATGATATGAAAAGTCGATTTTCTTAAAAATTGTTAATAACTTTTCTAAAAATGCTCAAAAAACTTTAATTACTTGTGATAATAGGGACAATATCACATGTATTTAGCTATAAAAATTTCAACAAGTTTCGCTGATTAGTT